AGAGGCATACATTGTCAAGTTTTGAAGTCGGGAGCCCGCCCGTATAACAGAGGCATACATTTTAAAGTTTTGAAGTCGGGAGCCCGCCCGTATAATAGAGGCATACATTTTCAAGTTTTGAAGTCGGGAGCCCGCCCGTATAACAGAGGCATACATTTTCAAGTTTTGAAGTCGGGATCCCGCCCGTATAACAGAGGCATACATTCTCAAGTTTTGAAGTCGGGAGCCCGCCCGTATAACAGAGGCATACATTCTCAAGTTTTGAAGTCGGGAGCCCGCCCATATAACAGAGGCATACATTTCAAGTTTTGAAGTCGGGAGCTCGCTCGTATAACATAGGAAATACATATCCAGTTCAGCAGTCTGAGGGAAAGGAAAAACATATCAGTTTACAATTCAAAGTGGCAACAATGGATTTCACCGAGAGGATACAAGACAACAAGGCAACAGGAAATACAAGAGCAAGTGTGAAGATTTAGATAGGATTTCTGTAATTCATAGATCATAGTTAGTCTAAATTGTTTTTATTTTGACATGGTGTAATAAGAGGGATCGGCAAGCAGTAGCAGCAACAGCAACAACAGTGAGATCACAACTTTATGGTAGTCCCAACTACCAGACACTCCCGAACTATACTAACCTGATTCCTTTTTAGCCAAAGATATGTAGGCAACCTCCGAAGCAGGGTGCGGTCAAATCTTTCAAAAAATTCTTCACATGGAGTATTCAAGAGGGTAAAAATGCTCGTATCCGCTCACTTATCTTTGCACGAAAACTCTTCGTGTTTCCGAGCAAAGAGGGGCAGATTTGAGCACGTGATTTTTGCCCTATATGAATTACTCCCATAATTTCAAAACAAAATATTGCCTTTTATTATTTACAATTTTGTGGATTTTTGTGGTATTTTATGTTAATAGCTTGCATTTTGTCCGTGCATGTTAATTCATATAAAAATATAAAAAATATGCATTGCATTTGGGGTTTAATTTTACTTATTTTTGGAATTAATTAGCAATTAGCAGTTTTACAAAAATCACAAAAATAGTTTACTTTTGTTTTAATTTTAACTTTTGGAATATTGGTAGTTTCTCTTTTTAATTTGGTATTTGATTAGTTTGTGACAATTATTAGAGTTAATTAATTGGATTTGGTAGGTTAATTCAGTTTTTAGAATTAATTCAGGGTTTTTAGTTTAATTTGGAAAAGATAAGAAAAAGAAATTAAAAAGAAAAGGAAGTCTTCTTAATAAAAGACCCAAAATTGGGCCATTTTTGTTCAAATACTTCAGCCCAAGTGCACAAAGACCCGTTCCAACCCAGCCCAATCCACCCCAACCCGATCCAGCACCCCCCACGACCAAAACAACATCGTTTCATCAACTTCAGATCTGGGTCGTCGAGGTAACTTGATCCAACAGCTTCGAACTATGGTGGAAATAATACTTATATGTCCAAACGCCCCACCTCCCCCCCCCTCATCATCTCTCATGTACCCTCAGAGACCCAAACCCAGCGCCGCTTCAAACCACCGCATGTCGTCACTAGAAATCGCCCTATGGCGGCGGCCGGTCTTCGATGGCCCCTCAATTTACACCAAAGCTACGCCTCTTCCCCCTCATACTCATACCACCATTAGTTTCCCTCGAATATTGCTAGAACTCCTCGACTCCATGAAACCCTAACAGTCACCTCTGCCGTGTCCGGTGGCGCCGCCACCCAACCGCTCCCAAATTCACACCCTTAAACCCCTGTCCCTACCTCAGTCCAAATCCCCACGCATAACCCCTCAAACACCCTTGAAACCCTTCAAATTTCAGATCAGAGATGAACCCTGATTTCTCAAAAAACTCAAATCGTGAGAGTTATTAAAGATTGAGGTCGAAATTGATCTCATTCATGTGTTTTTGCCTGAAAACACATGATTAAGACCCATTTCGTTCAAAATTTGTGGCTCAAGGGATGACCTCAAGGCTTGCCTATCCAGTTGTAGGTACCTCCAGTTCCCTTTTTGTTTTTCCTGCATTTTTCTTTTTCTGTTAAGTTCAAATTCACTCTCATTTCTCCTCCGTCCCCTCTCTTGTCTTTTGTTTTTACCATTTCAAAAGTGTCATTAAGATCGAGTCATGTTAGTATAATGGTTAGTATTAATTTAGGATTGCCATTTTCTAGTTTTTTAACATGTGTTCAGTTCAGATTAGCGGTAGCCTCTATTAATTTTAAGATTCAGATTGTTTGAACTTTGCATTCTTGATTTGAGTTTCGTTGTATTATAATGGGTTTTAAATTAATATTATGATGTTTTAGTTGGGTTGGGTCATCAGGTTTTGTGGTTATTGTGATTGCTTGTTTGGATCATTGTGTAAAAGAGTTTGGGCCAGAGTGCTTTTTTGGTAGTACTAAGCCCATTTAGGGATTCAATTCAGGGTTTATGACCCCAGTTAGCTTGGCCAGTTGGCCTGGGTGGGTTCAAGGTAAATAACAGTAGCTACAAGGGTGATTTGGGTAGTTTAAATGCGGGGAATCTTTTCTCAACTGAAAGAAGAAGCTTCTAGCAGGGATTACTAGCCAATTTCAGGCTTTTAAGTGGATAAGCTTGGGCACCAAGTCAGTAGTTAAGGGGTTAAGTAGCAAATTAGAAAATTGGAAAAGGTCTAAAAGTGAAAAACTTAACCTATTTTCAGCTGCCCTAGTAGCTGCCTATAAAGGGATAGCTAAGAGAAATTCATTTCAGATTTTTGGGTAGCTAAAAAACCCAAAAAATAACAAATTAGCGGAAAATATCCAAAAAACACTGTTCCATTAAAATTTTCTAAAACTCTTGAAGATTTTTTATTTCTGAAACAATCCATAGATAATCGGAGGTTTGAAATGGCTTAAACCGGTTGGTTTCAAGTGTTTAGGTTCGAGTTTTTGGTTGCATTTGATTACTGGACATTATTGGATCCTTCTGCTGGTTGGAGTTTGGTTCAAAACTGGTTTTCCTTCCGTTATTTTTGGGCTGTGTTGTTGCTGTGTTGTTCAGCTGCTGACCTTTTGCTGTTTATTTCATTTTCCAGGTACATTTTACACTCCACCTCATGTGTAAACTGATTTGATGAATGAAGATGGAAATTCTGCAATTTCAATATGTTTTCAGCCTTCTACTATGAATTTAACCTTGTTACTGTTTCATTTATGGGTTCTACAACTTAGATCATTGCCCTTTTGTAATTAATTTTAATCTGAGTAAATGTTTTGCGAGCTATCTATTTCTGTTCTGTTTTTTTTCTGATTATTTCACTTGTGCCCTTTGTTTTGGTATATCAGTCAATGATATAACATGAACACTGAAGGCTCATTTTAAGGCTGCAAGTAGGTCTTTCGTTTTCCATTTGTTGATCTTAATTATTATTGACTTATCTTTCGTGAGTTTTATGAGAATCATGCTTATCCAATTAACTTAGTATTGGGTGTTTGTTTGTTCTCTGATCTCTCAAAGTTTGAAGTAGTTTGGAATTTGCCAATTAACAAATCAAGTCTGTTGATTTTAAATGTGCTTGAATCTTACCGTATTTTGATACCAGTTGTGTGAACCTTGAGATTTTGTAATTAGTGAATAGTTTGTGCAACAGATGGTGTTATTGCAACTAGTATTGCCTTAGAATCCATGTTAGCCTTAGAAGTCTTCTTTGCATTTGAATTAGAGATTAGCTATGTTTACTCGATTCCAGATTTCTTTAAGTGATGCAATTAGCTTCAAATGAATTTGTTGTTTTATGTTTTGGGCTGTCTTTTGGCCCAATTATAATGGCACTGTCCGCAATCATCAAACTGTCGAGTTGGGCTTCATTTGGGAGCCCAGTTATTTCACATGTGAGCCTGCTGCAAATGGGCGGTCAGCCATGGGATTTTGATCAACCCAACCAGTCCACAATCTAGTAGGGGTGGTTCGTTATCAATTCAATGTTTTATTAAAATTACTGATTTAGTTTTGGCACAACATACTAGGAATTCCCTTGCGTTCTTTAAACTAACTAGTCTCGTTTTGTCAATTAAACTCCTTAAAATCAATGGGGGTTGAGTCGTATTAGATAACAAATAGTTTATGGTCCTCCGAGCTTTAGTTTAAATAGCCTTTAAAATAGAATTGAGGTGCGCCGCGCCAAAAATAAAATGACAAATTGCGCGGCCCTCTTTAATTATGTCTTAAAATATTTAGAACACCAGGCGTGACATTTAGTTAATTTTCATGGCCCTCGCAAAGTTAATAATGCGTAGTTGCTTTAGGCGCGTATTTAATAATCTACTTTCTTAAACTCGGGTGCACATTTATGTGACCCAAATCCAAATCCCAACAAAGTTGAAATATGTCAAAGACCGCAGGTGCATTTATGTGACGTGGTTCGAGACGTGTTTTAACGACGTTGCAATTCTCTTTAAAATAATAAAAGCGGTAAAAAGTTAAAATTCGCACATAGATTCATAATTGTGTAAAATCGGATAATTAAGCAAAATATGACAGTTAAGCGACCGTGCTAGAACCACGGAACTCGGGAATGCCTAACACCTTCTCCCGGGTTAACAGAATTCCTTAACGGGATTTTTGGTGCGCAGACTGTTTAACAGAGTCAATAATTTCCTCGATTCGAGATTCAACCGGTGACTTGGGACACCATAAATCTCCCAAGTGGCGACTCTGAATCTTTAATAATAAATCCCGTTTCGATTGTCCTTTAATTAGAAAAACTCCTTTATACCCTTCCGGGTGTAGGTAAAAAGGAGGTGTGACAGACCTGATCATTTTAATTGTGAATCTAGTTGTAGGAAGCCCCTAATGGCAGCCAACAACTTTGAAATTAGGACCGGCCTGATTCAGACAGTTCAACAATCTTGTATCTTCACTGGTGATACAAGTGAAGACCCACATAGTCATTTAATTGATTTTCTAGAACTTGTAGAAACTGCTAAGTACAATGGAGTACCTCCTGAAGCTATCAAGTTAAGGCTATTTGCTTTTTCTTTAAAAGGAGATGCCAAGACTTGGTTGCGAAGTTTACCTCAAGGATCCATTACGACATGGGACCAGATGTGTCACGCCCCAAATTCGAGAGACATGACCGATGCCTGACCGGATATCCCCGGTCAAGCGGACCTGAGTGCCTTTCCTATCCCATGTGTTACCCCACATCTTTCATTACTTATTAGTCAAGTGAAATAACCATATTATTAATGTAAAATACCGATTCATTACAAAACATACACAAAGTACATGGTTCCCAGCGTGGTTTACATCTTACATTACCCCAATATATAAAATACATATTTCATGAGTTCATGACCCACATTTTCTGTCTACGGAGCTTCTAAGGATGAAGAAGGATAATACAATACTTGCCGGCAACAAGGCTCAGGCTATACCTTTTACAAATACTAAAACAAAATCCCAAAAGAAAAGAACAAAAGTGGCGTGAGCCACGCAGGGCCCCAGAAGGAAAGGGGCTCACCAATTCAGCTGACAGGAAATGATGAGGAGCTACGGTCGGTGGACTGGAGTACCTGCTATGGATCCACCTACAATCATGACACGAATGTAGCGCCCCCGGCTAAATGGGCGTCAGTACACTTGAATTGTACTGGTATGTATGAAAATTTTTTACCCTAAGTAAACTCAAACCATACACAAGTAACGATCAGTAGTAGAATCAACAATCAAATACACATGAAAGGTACAATCAAGCCAAACAAGTTTACAATCTCTCCTTTTTCCCCTTCAACATTTTCACATCAATAATTCCACAATCTTTCTCATAATTTCATTTCAATAGTGTTTTCGACCACTTTTCCACCCTTATTACCTTGGCCACCCTTATTACCTCGGACACCCTTATCACCACAACCCACACCTTATTACTTCGTGTTGCAGCGCGCAACCCAATCCCACCGAACAAATCACAATTCACAAACAGCACAACAACAACGATAATTCACATAGAACAACAACAATAATTCTCAAAGAGCAACCACAACAATTCACAAGAATTTCTGTAGCCATCAATACCATTTCCATCATATTCAACAATCCATATGCAATTTAAGTCACCACAATAATTACCCACAGCAAGCCAAAAATATTATTACCACAGTTGTTCCAATTGCATCATTTACGATTTCCTCCCATCATCTGTTTCTCAGCTCTTACCACATAACACTCTCAAAATCACATTTGGTTTATTGCCAATTAAGTACACCATTATATTGGGAAAACTTAACCAACAACATTCAAGACATGTTAATCACAAGAATTCATGAAATAGGCCATCTTGCCTTACCACCCGTGAAACAACCAAAATTCACAAATAGTTCACATAAATAACACGTACCAATTTCTCGTACTCTAAACAAGGTGAATTTACAAAGGTTAAAGTTAGCCATACATACCTCGATTAAGCTTTCCTTAAGTTACTACGACATTTCGGAACGTCTAGCAATCCCAATCTACTTAAGACATAACAAAATTAACACAAATTAGGAAGGTATTCATGGTTTCAGTTCATTTGAGCATTTTATCAAACACTAGTTGAGCATCTTGATTTTTAACTCTCTTTTACAAGATTTCCTTCATTCCCCAACTCAATCTTTACCTATTTAAGTTCATCAATCTTCCCACAAACCCTATTTGCACATGCATGTATACATAATACTATTATACTAAGAATCATACCTCAATGACCCATCTCACAATCTCTACAATACCAACACAACCTAGGTTAGGCACCTATGGCTCCCAATTACCATACCATACGTTGTAATACATGATTCATACTCATAATTCCATAATAACTCCATATATGTAAGTCTAAGGTGTAGGATTTACCTTTTGGAAGAAATCTTGCAAAACCCTTCTTTGGGTTCTTGAAGGAATTTCTTGAAAAATCTAAGTGTTTTAAGAGAAAATTTTATCAATAGTAGTGTAGGAATGATGGAATTTCACACCAAGATCATAAGGATTACTTACCTTGAAGATTGGGGGAGTTGAAGGTCTTGAGAGGGTGAAGAAAACCCCAAAATTTCGAGCTTGGATGACAAAAATAAAGAAAAGATGATACCCCTTCGGTTTTTACACTGACCAGGGGTATTTTGATCATTTAAACTGTTCCCCCGCGCTCCCACCGCGGTCCCACCAAGGTGAAACACCCTTGCAAATAGTTTTTCTCGCGGTCCCGCCGCTAGGGCTGTGCATTTGGATCGGATATCCGAAATCCGATCCGATCCACTCTATTTCGGATTTTCGGATTTCAAATTTCGGATTTTCGGATTGGATACGGATTGTGTTTTATGAAATTTCGGATTTTCGGATTGGATTCGGATTGGTATGATTTTAATCCGATCCGATATCCGAAATTATATGTACCTATATAAATACACACTAAAATTTTAGAGTTATGCTTATTCATTTTTCACACACACCCTCACTCACTTAGATTTTTCTGCCTCTCTTGCACCTCTCTTCTCTTCAGTGAAGACTAAAAGAGTCTCAATGACTCAAACTTCCGATTTTACTTTGATTTTATGTCTCTTTCTTCCGCCTCTCTTCTCTTCTCTTCTGTCTTTTATGTCTATTTCATGTTCTATTCTTCAACTTTTGATTTTATTTTGATTTTTTTGTTTGTTTTGGTAGATGGAAGATGAGATAGAGACACCGAATGAACTTTAAATTGTTGAAAATTTTTGTGACAATCCGATCCGACAATCCGAAAAATTATCCGATCCAAACTTTAAAATTCGATCCAATCCAATGTTAATTCGGATCGGATTCGGATTGCCCTTTTCAGAATCCGAAATTCGAAATCCGAATCTGAAATATGCTAAATCCGATCCAATCCGATCCGTGCACAGCCCTACCCACCGCGGTCGCGCGCCTGGGCGCGCTGGTGACACATGTCAGGTAAAATGGTCATAACTTTCTGTATACACCTCCAAATGACGAACGGTTTGTTGCGTTGGAAACTAGACTCAAGGGGATTTAATTTGATAGGTTTTAAATCACACAAATTCTTATATAACTGTAGATATGATCATTCAAAGTGAGGTCTTGCGCGCACTTATTTACAACTTTCGTCTATTATGAAATTTTCCAACTTGGCCTAGACTTAAGCCTCTCCTTAGAACCCCATTTCACTTCTAATATGACTTATACGCTTATTATATATCCAATTGATATCCATTATATCCTAGATCCTCATTTTCACGCAAGATAAAGTATTTAGCCTACCTTGGCACCACAGAAACTTAAATTACTAAGCAAAATGTTCTGGGGTTTTACACCTTGGACTCCAAATTACTTACCATAGGACATATACACATATTTACCAAATCTAATTGATGTACACCATGTTAATAGCACATAAAGTATTATGATAAGCCTACGAAACAGCACGTAATCCTAAATTACTTAGCGAAATTTTCTAGGGCCTTACAAGATGACTCAGAAGTTTTTAAACAAATATTTTTCCCCTGCTAAAATAACAAAGTTAAGACAAGACATATCTAATTTCTTTCAGACTGATACTGAATCAGTTTATCAAGCTTGAGAAAGATTAAAAGCAATGTTAAGAAAATGCCCACACTATGACATTCCTGAACATATGCAATTGTACATTTTCTATCAGGGGTTAAAACCCTCTGCTAGAAATGTGATAGATGCAACTGCAGGAGATTATGTAATGGGAAAAACCACAGAGGAAGCATTGCAAGTGTTGAATGAAATTTCTGAGAACGCTATCCAATGTCCATCTGAGCATGTAATCATTAAAAAGGCTGCTACGGTAAATCATGTTGATGCTTTAAATACACTAACGCAACAGATTGTTTCTTTGGCATAAAAGTTTGAATCTTTTCAGGTGAATACACAACAATCAAACCAATCTAAGGCTTGTGACATGTGTGGAGGAAACCACCAGAACCATGAATGTCAAGCAACCAATCAAACAGATGAACAGGCTTATGTCATCGGTTACAAACCATATCCTTTTGGGAGTCCAATGGCACAGAAGCATCCAGGATTTCAGTGGAGTAAACCAAATGGTGCAGAAAACTCTCAAAGCTTCCAAAAACAATAGGGACAAGGTCCGCCAGGATACCAGAGTCAAAATCGCGGGGAACCGAGTTACAGACCTTATCAGCAAGCAAGCCCATATCAACAAGCAGGGTCATATCAGCAGAGGCCCCAACAAGCTCATCCAAGTCTTGATGACCTTTTGTACAAGTATATTAAGGTCACTGATGAAAAGATGGAAAGCCAAAATTCATCCCTCAAAAATCAAAAAATTCAATTAAGCCAATTGGCAGCTCTTGTGTTAGAAAAGATTCAGGGTCCCTTACCAAGCAATACAGAGAAAAATCCAAAGGAGCACCTTAAGGCCATCACTTTACGGTCAGGTAAGGAACTTGATGAACCTTATGCAGACAGAACAACAGGTAGACAACGGTAAGAATTTTGAAAAACCATCTGAACCATCAAAGGAGAAAGAAATAAAGAATAAGGAAGAAAACATTTCTGAAAAAATGGCTGCCCCACCTGTGACAATTCCCTTTCCACAAAAAATGAAACGATAAAAGCTTGATGGTCAATTTGCAAAAAAATTTGAAATCTTGAAACAAATTCATATTAATATTCCTTTCACTGATGCTTTGTTGCAAATGCCTTCATATGCTAAATTTTTAAAAGAAATTTTGTCAAGTAAACAGAAATTGGAAGAAGTTTCTGTGGTAATGCTTACTGAAAAATGCAGTGCTATACTTTAAAATAAGCTACCACAAAAACTTGGTGATCCTGGCAGTTTTACCATTCCATGCACTTTGGGAGGTGTATATTTTGAAAAAGCACTTTGCGATTCTGGAGCTTCAATAAATTTGATGCCATTTTCTATCTTTAGAAAATTGGATCTCGGTGAAATGAAGGACATAAGTGTTTCTCTTCAGTTTGCAACTCAGAGTACTAAGAAACCTAAGGGAATAATTGAAAATGTACTTGTAAGAGTAGATAAGTTTTTGTTCCCTGTAGATTTTATAGTACTAAAAATGAAAGAATGTCCTGATAAACCAATAATTTTGGGTAGACCATTTCTTCCTACAAGAAGAGAAATCATAGATGTTCATTAAGGGCAACTAATCTTGAGAGTTGATGAAGAAAGAGTCATTTTTGATATGCAAAAGATACTAAGATTTTCAGGAGATGAGGCATCATCTTCATGCTTTTCTTTTGACATGATTAGTGATCTTGCAGATGAATTCAAAGATGATCAATTAATTTCAGACTCAATGGAAAGATGTTTGACCAAATCAGGCACCACACAAGATGATGATCCCACAATTAGGAGAGAAGCTGAAATACTGGAAAAATATTCAGAGGATAAGGATGTCACGACCCAATTCCCGAACTCGGTCGTGATGACGCCTCTCGTGAAGACAAGGCCAGCCCAACAGAACGGAACACCTCTTTTAACAGTTAATTAACATAAAGAAGTCTAAACATGATTAATCATAGTCATAAGTGCGGAATAAAGTGATAAAACATGGAAACCATCCCGACACAGCCCAAATCGGGGTGTCACAAGTCATGAGCTACTATAGAGTCTACTAAAATTCTACAAGGTCTGGAACTTAGTACAAAGTCTAAAGATAACATAAGTAATAGAAGATAAGGGAGAAACGGGGCTGCGGATATCAACAGCTACCTCGTCATCACCGCCTGGTCTGGAAGGAATCAGTGCTCAGGAGCGAACTCTGCTATGCATGTATCTGCACACACACGGTGCAAGGAGTAATGTGAGTACTCTGACCCAGTGAGTAATAGGTATAAATAATGGCTGAAAGCATGAAATCTCATAATGGCACAAGGAAATACTATATCAAAGTATTAAAATCAGTTAAGAAGTAAAACAGTGAAGTATCAAATAACTCTCTTTAAAAACTGGTAAAACAGATAATTTAACAGATGAAAAATAGATAGAAATCTACCCCTCGGGCTCAGTATCAATCTCTTAGAAAAGTATCAGTCCCTCGGGCTCAGTATCAGTCCCTCGGGCTCAGTATAAGCCACTCATCATAATATCAGCCCCTCGGGCTCTCTCTCATATCACATGGGTACCCGCGATCACTGTGGGTGTGCAGACTCCGGAGGGGCCCTTTAAGGCCCAAGCGCTATATCAACATAAGGCGTGAAAGCCTGCTTACATCACTCATAAGGCCTGAAAGCCTCTTCATATCACCCACAAGGCCTGAAAACATTCTCACATCACTCATAAGGCCTGCAAGCCTTCTCACATCACTCAGTATATCCTCACATATGGCCCTCGGCCTCAATCAGTCCGAAAATCATCACAAGCCCCTTGGGCATCAGTAAAACAATAGTGCTCAGCCCAAACAACATTTGAAATATCATTTAAGTCTCAAAATCAAGTAAAAGTGGCTGAGTTTGTAAAACAATGTAAATCAACATGACTGTGTTCAAATAGTATGTCAAAATAGTGAGGAAACAGTGATAAAAATCCCTGAAGGGTCCAGATAATTGGCACAAAGCCCCAAATATGGCATTAAGCCCAAGTCATGATGATAACAATTAAGTCTCGGTCAAATACGCGGTAAAATATCAATCGGGATGGACCAAGTCACAATCCCCAGTAATAAACGACCCCGCGCTCGTCATTCAGCGCGTGTCCCACCTCAATATAGCACTATGTTGTGCAATCTGGGGTTTCAAACCCTCAGGACATCATTTACAATCATTACTCACCTCAAGCCGGCCAAAATTCTAGCTCGCTATGCCCTTGCTTCTCGAATCGGCCTCCTCGCGCATTGAATCTGACCAAAACCACAACAAATACGTCACAATAGGCTAAGGGAACAATACCCAATCGAACAATATCGAAAATTCCGAAATTAGCAAAACCCGATCCCCAAGCCCACTTGTTAAAACTCAAAAAAATTCACATCAACGGATTCCTTATCTCGCCATGAGTTCATACATATAAAAATCACAAGAATCGGAGTTCAATTGACCCCTCAAATCCCCATTATCAACTCTCTTAAGTTCAAGCCCTAACCTCCATTTTTAACCCTTGATTCCTTAATTTTTCAGTCTTAATTCATGTATTTGCACCATAAAATCGTGTTTTAAGTCCAAGAATCCTTACCTTAGTGAAGCCCCTTGAAAACCTTCTTCAAAATCGCCCACAAAACTCCAAGTCCGAAGTTAGAATGATAAACCTTTCAAAAATTTGCGAAGATGGACATTAATATTTCTGCCCAGTTAAAACCACTTCTGTGGTTCCATTTCTGCTTATGCGGCACCGTTTCCAGGGTTCCTCCATCCGCTTCTGTGGAAACTCACTTAACGCCCCAGGCCGCTTCTGTGACTCCAATTCCGCATCAGTGGAACCGCTTCTGCGGTCAACCCTTCCGCTTCTGCGGATATCCACCTAGAGTCCAAAATTGCTTCTGCGGCTACATCTTCGCACCTGCGATACCGCTTCTGCGGTCCAACTTCCGCAGAAGCGAAAATACCAGAAGCAGCAACAACATCAACTTTACAAGTCCAAAAACTTCCTGATAGCTATCCGAAATCACCCCCAGGCCCTAGGGACCTCAACCAAAAGTACCAATACATCCTAAAACGTTATTCAAGCTTGTTCCAACCATCAAAACACACCCAACAACACTAAAATCATCAATTCTCATTGAATTCAAGCCTAAATTCATATGAAACTTCTGAAACACGCATTCGATCAAAAACCCAACAAAATCACCTGAAATTTTGCACACACATCCCAAATCACCTAACAAAGCTACTGAAACTCTCGGAATTCCATTCCGAGCCTCGTATCAAAATCTCACCTATCAACCGGAATTCGCCAAAATACTAACTTCGTCAATTCAAGCCTATTTCTACACCAGGCCTCCAAAACCACTTCTGATCACGCTTCTACATCACCAATCATCCTCTGAAGCTAACTGAATCACCAAAAATCACATCCGAGCCCTCTAACTTATAAGTCAACATTCGATTGACTTTTTTCTAAACTAAGCCTTCCTTAAAGAGACTAAGTGCCTCATTTCCTACCAAAACCAATCCAAATCGACCCGATCACATCCAATACCGATAATGAAGCATATAGAAGCATAAAATGGGGGAAACGGAGTGGTAACTCATGAGACGACGGTTCAGGCCATCACATCCTCCCCAACAAAAATAAATGCTCGCCCTCAAGCGAGTCAAGAAACATACCTGAAGTCTCAAATAGGTAAGGATATCTGCTCCGCATCTCCCGCTCGGTCTCCCAGGTAACCTCCTCCACGGGCCGACCTCTCCACTGCACCTTCACCGAAGCTATATCCTTTGATCTCAACTTCCGAACCTGACGACCCAAAATAGCCACTAGCTACACATCATAGGTCAAATCATCGTCCAGCTGAACCGTGCTGAAGTCCAAAACATGAGACGGGTCCCCAACATACTTCCGGAGCATAGAAACATGGAACACCAGATGCACACTCGACAAGCTGGGTGGCAAAGCAAGCATATAAGCCACCTCCCCAATCCTCCAAAACACCTCAAAAGGTCCAATGAACCACGGAATCAACTTTCCTTTATTTCCAAATCTCATAACACCCTTCATGGGCAAAACCTTTAGCAAGACCTTCTCACCGACCATATAAGACATATCTCGAACCTTCTGATCCACATAACTCTTCTGACGCAACTGAGATGTATGAAGTCTCTCCTGAATTAACTTCACCTTCTCTAAGGCATCCTGACCAAATCTATCCCCAAAAACCTAGCCTCGCCGGGCTCGAACCAACCAACTAGAGACCTACACTGTCTCCCATACAAGGCCTCATACGGTGTCATATGAATGTTGGACTGTTAGTTATTGTTGTAGGCAAATTTTTCAAGCGGTAAGAACTCATCCCAAGAACCTCTGAAATCAATAACATAGGCACACAACATGTCCTCTAATATTTGGATAGTATGATCGGACTGCCCGTAAGTCTAAGGATGAAATGATGTGCTCAACTCCACCTGAGTACCCAACTCTTGCTGAAAAGTCCTCCAAAACTGAGAAATGAACTGAGTACCTCTATTTGAGATAATAGACACTGGGACACCATGCAACCGAATAATCTCCCAGATAAAGATCCCTGTCAGTCGCTCTGAATAATAGGTAGAACACACCGGAATAAAGTGTGCGGACTTGGTCAGCCGATCCACAACCACCCAAATCGAATCGAACTTCTTCAAAGTCCGAGGAAGACCACTCACAAAATCCATGGTGACTCTCTCCCACATCCACTCGGGAATAATCATCTGCTGAAGAAAACCACCCGGTCTCTAATGCTCATATTTCACCTGCTGACGATTGAGACACCGAGTTATATAACCCACAATATCTTTCTTCATTCTCCTCCACCAATAGTGTTGCCTCAAATACTGATACATCTTTGCGGCACTCGTATGAATGGAATACCACGAGTTGTGGGCCTCCTCCAGAATCAACTCTCTAAGCCCATCCACATTGGGCACACAGATATGGCCCTACATCCTCAATACACCATCATCACCTATAGTCACATCCCTAGCATCATCATGCTAAACTCTGTCCTTAAGGACAAGCAAATGCGGATCATCATACCGGCACTCTATGATGCAGTCATATAAGGAAGACCGAGAAACCACACAAGCCAACGCTTGGCTAGGCTCCGAAATATCTAATATCACGAACTGATTGGCCAAAGTCTGAACATCAACTACAAAGGGCCTCTCCCTAAGTGGAATGTACGCCAAACTCCCCATACTCACTGCCTTTTGGCTCAAGGCATCGGCCACCATATTGGCCTTTCCCGGATGGTACAGAATGGTAATATCATAATCCTTAAGCTCCTCCAGCCATCTCCGCTTGCCTCAAATTAAGATCCTTTTGCTTGAACAAGTGCTGAAGACTACGATGATCAGTGAATACCTCACAAGATACGCCATATAAGTAGTGCCTCCAAATCTTCAAAGCATGAACTATAGCAACCAACTCTAAGTCATGAACAGGGTAGTTCTTCTCATGGGACTTCAACTAACGAAAAGCATAAGCAATCACTCTACCCTCCTACATCAATACACACCCAATTCCGACTCTCGAAGCATCACAATAGACGGTATAAGAACCTAAAGCTGATGGCAAAACCAGTACTGAAGTTGTGGTCAAAGACGAGGAGAAGGTTATGGTGCGTAATGGAGCATAATCGTCACTAGTAGCGGAAGTCAAGGAAAAGAAGCTCATTGATCCAGCATTAGCACAGATGAAGGAGGCAGTTTTGAATAACAAGACTTCGACATTTTCACTCGGTGGTGAGGATGGTGTATTACGATGTCAAGGATGTGTTCCATATGTGGATAATCTTCGGTGGAGGGTAATATGTCTTGAGCTTCTGAAAGCTCTCCTCGCACTCATCCGACCATACAAATGGAGCTTCCTCCTGAGTCAACTTGGTCAAGGGCGAGGCAATCGATGAAAAACCCTGCACAAACCGGCGATCATAATCCGCCAAATCGAGGAAACTACGAATCTCTGCGGCTGAGGACGGTCTAGGCCAACTCTTCACTGCCTCTATCTTCTTCGGATCAACTTTAATACCCTCGCTGGACACCACGTGCCCAAGAAAGACACTGAACTGAGCCAAAACTCACACTTGGAGAACTTTGCATACAACTTCTCCTTCCTCAACCTCTGCAATACAACTTGCAACTGCTCTGCGTGCTCCCGCTGACTACGCGAGTATACCAGAATATCATCAATGAATACGATAACAAATGAATCCAAATAAGGCCGAAATACACTATTCATCAAATGCATGAACACTGTTGGGGCATTGGTCAGCCCAAAAGACATAACAAGAAACTCATAGTGACCATATCTAGTTCTGAAAGTAGTCTTAAGAATTTCTGAATCCCTGGTCTTCAACTGGTGATAACTCGAATGGAGATCAATCTTGGAGAACACCCTCGCTCCCTGAAGATGGTCGAATAAATCATCAATATGAGGCAGGGGTACTTGTTCTTCACTCTTACTTTGTTTAGTTTCCTGTAATCAATGCACATTCTCATTGTGCCATCCTTCTTCTTCACAAACAGAACTGGTGCACCCCACGGTGACACACTAGGCCGAATGAACCCCTTATCTAGGAGTTCCTGAAGCTGATCATTCAACTCTTTCAACTCCGTTGGTGCCATACAATATAGCAGAATGGAAATGGGCTGAGTGCCCAGCACCAGATCAATACCAAAATCAATGTCCATGTCTGGTGGCATGCCCGGCAGGTCTGCAGGAAATACATCGGGAAACTCCCTTACAACTAGAACAGAATCAATGCTAGGAGCCTCAGCTCCGACATCCCGCACAAAGGCTAAATATGACAGACAACCCTTCCTAACCATACGTTGGGCCTTTAGGAAAGAAATCACTCTACTAGGGACGTAATCAGTCACACCACGCCACTCGATCCTCGGTACACCCGGCATAGCCAAAGTGATTGTCTTAGCATGACAGTATAGAATAACATGACACAGAGATAGCCAATCCATGCCCAGAATAATATTAAAGTCCACAATGCTCAATAGCAATAAATCAACTCGGGTCTCCAGACCCCCAATAGTCACAACACAAAATCGATACACATGGCCTACAACAATAGTATCGCCCACTAGGGTAGTTATGTAAACAAGTAAAGCAAGACACCCTCGGGTCGTACCCAAATGATAAGCAAAATATGAGGACACATAAGAATAGGTGGAACCGGGATCAAATAAGACAGAGGCATCTCTGTGGCAGACTGAAATAATACCTGTAATGACAGCATCGGAAGCAACGGCATCTATCCGGCCTGGAATAGCATAAAAATGGGTCTGGCTACTGCATGATCGACCTCTACCTCTGGGGAGACCCCTGGCTGCCTGACCTCCACTCCTACCTGACTAGGAGGGTGTTGAAGAAACTAGAGCAGAAGATGAGGGTTGACCCCTCTACTGTGATGAACTGGCAGCACGATGAGGACACTGCCTCCACATGTGTCCAAACTCTCCACACTCATAATAACTCCCAGGTGCTGGAGAATGGGACTGAAGGGAACCCCTCGTACCGAAGTGACTAGCTGATGCACTCGGCGTGGAAGAACCCTAAACAGACGGGGCACGCATTGAACTCCGAGATGGAAGGGCACTGAGTGAAGGCTGACCCTGCTGAGAACCATGATGACCATGTCCTGAAGATTCCCCACGATACTCAGGACGGGCCGACTGAGCGGACCTAAAATAACAGCCTCTACCGTGCTGGAACTGGCCTCTAGATGGAGCACCACTGAAACTGCCAGAACCTTAAGGCCTCTTGGCCTCCCTCTCCTCTCTACCATGCCGGCGAGCCGTCTCGATATCCCGAGCAATATCAACCACCTCCTCGAATGAAATACCCAAAAATCTCTCTCTTGTCATCAAAATACGGAGATGATAGTTAAGATCATCCACAAACCTCTTGATCCTCTTGAAATCTGTCGGAACCATCCACGAGGCATGACGAGCCAACTCACAATACCTCGCCTCATACTGAGACACAGTCATATCACCCTGCCGGAGCCACTCAAACTACCTACGCAGCTCCTCCCTACGGGACTGCGGTACATACTTCTCCAAGAAGAGAGTGGAGAACTCCTGCCAAGTCAAGGGCACTGCACCAACCGGCCTACACTTCTCATATGCCTCCCACCAAGTGAAGGCAGCCCCAGTGAACTGAAAGGTGGTAAATGCTACACCACTCGACTCCAAAATTCCTGTTGTCCGAAGCATACGCTGACGCTTGTCGAGGAAACCCTAGGCATACTCGCCCTCAGCACCACAGAATGAAGGAGTTTGAAGCCTCCCGAACCTCTCAAGACGACTCTGCTCATCGTCTGACATAGCTGGAACCACAAAGTCCTAAACTGGTACGACCGGCTGAGCTGGAGGTGCTCCTAGTGTTTGCAATCCCTACACTACTTGCTCAGGTGTGCGAGCAGTGGGGGTCTGATTGCCTCCCCCGTCCTGTGAAGTAGTGATAAGTAGGATTTTAACGTGTTTTATGCCCTTACTTGCCTATGCTTTGAGTATAATCTGCTACAAAATAGTACTAAAATGCTTACAGGTTGTGCTTGATTGAAGGTTTGAGCTACAAAGTGACGAAATGTCAAATATCGGCTCAAAACAGAGTGAAACCTACTCAAGTATCAAAGGCCAAGTGAAGTGGTAGAATAGGAGCCTAGTGCCGACCGCACAATTGTGCATGTGGCCGCATTAGGGGAGTTCAGAGAAGTGCAAAGTCAAGATTTTAACCACGCGGCCGCGGTTGGATTTAGGCAGCCCGTGTTCAGCTCGCGCGGCCGCGCCATTACATCATGCGGACTGCGCCAGGGGTTCAGAGAAGATGTAGTTTTAGGCAATTGCAGGCCACGCGGCCGCGATCACTATCATGCGGCCCGCGCCACACCTTCACGCGGCCACGCCACATCTTTACGCGGTCCGCACCAGCCACTTCAAAGAGATAGAAATGGAAGTCAAACCAGCCAGTGCAGTCGCGGTCATAATTGTGCAGCCCGCACTGACCCCGTAGGGGCAATTTTGTCCAGTTTTTCCAGCCCACTATAAATAGAACATTTTACCATTTTTAGGTTAAGTTTTATGTATTGAACAGATCTGCGCTCGTGAGGACCAACGTTTTGGCTTATTTTGGCATCTTAGCTTTAATTTCTCCATAGATTCTTGTAGTTTTACTTTAGTTATTAATTAATATGGTTATTTCTTCTTCTATTTCTTCTGTTTCACTTTCAATTATGTCTAGCTAAACCCATTAGCTAGGGTTGTGGCTCAACCCTAGTATGGGTAATTGATGGGTGTTGCTTTCTAATGATAGATTGATATTAGGTGTTCGTTATTTGGGTTAACTTTATGCTTTAATTAAGGATTGGTGGTTGCAAACATTGATTCTAGCTTAGTGGGTTTTGACTCTTCTTGAAAAAGAGGGTCTATGACCCCAAAATTGACCCAACTAGGAATTGGGATGGACCCATGAGAAATGGTAGTCCCAATTAACGGGTTAAATCTCTAAAGAGTAATCACCCTACTTGAACCCTAGTTGCTTGGTCTAATTGGCCTACCCAATTGGCCTTGAGAGAGTCAATTGGGCAAAATCATTCTCTCTACCGAGAGGTGTGAGAGTGGGTACAATTGTGCAACAGTTATAACATAAATCCCAAATATGTCAATCTATTATTAGTAGTTTCTACCCGTTAGTTAACCACCTAGGTGATGCCACGACCCTAGTGCCTTTCTCCCTATTAGTTACAAACTTGCAATATTTCCTTAGCATAATTTAGTATTAATCTTTTAGTTCATAATAGTAGTTATTAATCCAAAGAAAACCCAAAATGTTAGGAGTGCAATTAGAAGTACAAACGCGATCCTAGGCTAAATAGACAATACAACTCCATTCCAAGCTCCCTATGGAAATTCGATCCCGAACCACTATTCGAGTAAAAGCTGTTAGTGACCCGCTCTCCATACATTCGTGTAGCATTGAGTCGGCAGCAATCAAGTCGATGTCGTTGTTGCCGGGGAGCTTACGGTGTTGACTATCTGTGTAGCTAGTTTTGTGTTTTGCTTCTCTTTCCTTCTTTTTACTAACTTTATTTGTGTCAATCACTCAGGTACACATGGATTTAAATACAAATGACCCTCTTAGCAACGTGGTCGTATGGCAGGTCGAAATGTATTACCTCAAGCTCCAAGGAGAGGTCGAAATGCCAATGCAAATGCCAATGAAAATGAGAACATACCAGACCCTCCCCCGCCTCCACCAAGATTGGCCCCAAGAGTTCTCTCTAATCAAGGGTACGCGAGTGCAATAGTTCCTCCAAAAATCTGAGCGGGGAACTTTCGGATTACAAATATTATGCTCACCTTGCTCGAACAACGAGATTATTTCACGGGTGCCTCCGATCAGAATGCTTATAAACATTTGAAAGGGTTTGTGGATACTTGTTGGGGTAGCAAGTAGACAAATGTCTCGAAGGATGAATTGAGACTTAGGCTTTTCCCGTTCTCACTTCGGGGAAAGGCATTGGATTGGTTAGAGAGGCTCCCCAATCATTCTATCACTACATGGGATGAATTGGCGGACAAGTTCATCGCTAAGTTCTTTTCTCCAAGTCATATGGCGGCGGTCCGTGATGAGATTTTGGCTTTCAAACAAGAGCCAATGGAACCCTTGCACGAGATATGGGAGAGATTTAGAACTATGGTGAAAGAGTGACCTAACAATGACATGAATGATGTGATGATTCAACAAACATTCTATAGGGGCATCAACACAACCAACCAATGTATTGTGAACCAATTGGTGGGAGGAAATTTTATGAAGCTTCCTTACAATGAAGCTTGTGATGTGTTAGATGAAATGGCCGATACTTCTTCGGCATGGCAAAGCCGGGCAAACGTTCCTCAAGGTGACCCTAATGTCATACATTTGCATAAGGAGTTGCATGATCACGGCCAAGCCATTGCCAAACTTACAACAACAATGAATCAATTGGCGAAGGTGCAATTACAACAAGTCCAAAACTCGTGCCAAGTCAATGCCATGGAAGGAGTGAATATGATGAAAAGGAGGCAAAGAGGGAAACAACCTCAAGGAAATTTTGATAACTATGATGATGGTGGTGGTTATTCAAATGAATGCTATGATGATCAAAGTGAGGAAGTCCAATACGTCAACAACTACCAAGGGAATAGAGGAAATCAAGGGAACCAACAATGGAGACCCCAAGGAAATTGGGGCAATCAACAAGGTGGTAATTGGAACAATAACAACAACCAAGGTGGAAATTAGGGGAACAACAATTCGGGCAATCAAGGGCATTGGAACAGAAACAACAACAACAATTGGAACAACAACAATGGTCAAGGTGGATGGAATAACAATGGTAGTCAAGGTAATCAGGGGCAAGGCTTTCAAAGGCCTCCGATGTTTCAACAACTGAACAACCCACCGCCGTTTCAATCTCAAGGGTCTAGTTCTTTGGGAAATGATTTTGGGAGAATTGAAGTTATGTTTGAGCAAATGATGAAGAAGAACCAAGACTCCGATGCTCAATTGGCTTCCCACAACACTTCTATCCGTAACTTGGAGGTGCAACTTGGCCAAATTTCTCAAACTTTAAATACTCGCCCAAAGGGTGCTCTACCAAGTGATACGGTAGTAAACCCTAAGGGTGGGCACAACAATCATGTGATGGCGGTGACAACGCGAAACGGAAGAGGCGGTGATGTGCATGCCTCAAGAAGAAATCAAGTTATGGTTTATGAAGATAAGTTGCGAGATGATGATATGCCTTTGGTGGTTGAGGATGTAGTGGAACCCAATGTGAACAATAATGTGCGGATTGATATTAATGATGTTGAGAAGGAGACACAAGAGGTCGTGAACCCATCTAGGGAACACGTGATTGATATACCCAAGCCGGTGGTGCCCAAAGCCAAGGCACCCTTGCCTAGGCCTCCTCCACCCTATCCTCAACGGTTGGCAAAGCAAAAGGGTGACAACCAATTCAAGAAATTCATTAAGATGATGAAGAGTCTAACTATCACCGTGCCATTAGTGGAAGCACTCGAGCAAATGCCGGGGTACGCAAAGTTCATGAAGGATTTGGTTATGAAAAAGAGGTCAATGGAGTGTGAGACAATCAAGATGACTCATCAAGTGAACGCAATTGTACATTCTATGGCTCCAAAACTTGAGGACTCCGGTGCATTCACTATCCCATGTACCATTGGAAGTGCTGACTTTGCAAAAGCCCTTTGTGACTTGGGGGCGAGTATAAACTTAATGCCATATTCGGTCTTCAAGACCTTGGGAATCGGACAAACTCGTCCAACTTCAATGAGGCTCCAAATGGTGGATCGGTCAATAAAGCGGCCTATGGGTATAATCGATGATGTCCTTGTTCGTGTTGATAAATTTATCTTGCCGACCAATTTCGTCATACTAGATTGTGAGGTGGACTTTGAAGTCCCAATTATTCTTGGAAGACCTTTCCTAGCTACGGGGAAGGCTTTGGTCGATGTTGAAGCGGGAGAGTTGACCTTCCGTGTTGGTGATGAAAAGGTGGTATTCCATGTGTCCAAGTCTATGAGGCAACCAAATAGCACCGAGGTGTGCTCGTTTGTTGACATTGTCAAGGCAGTGGTAGTGGATGACACAAGCGCAATGATTAATATTGAAGATCCACTTGAAGCTGTGCTTTTGAACATGGATGTTAATGATGATGTCGGGAGAGTGGAATGTGTAAATGCATTGCATGGTATGGTATCATATTCTTATGATCCTAGGAAGTTATCCTTGGATCTTGAGAATCGCAAAATCCACCAATCAAGCCATCTATTGAGGAGCCTCCAGTGTTGGAGTTGAAACCACTTCCTCCTCACCTCAGGTATGAATTCTTGGGCCCTAATTTCACTTCGCATGTTATTCTTTTGTCTTGCTTGACTAACGTGTAGGTTGACGCCACCTTGGCAGTTCTACAAAAGCGCAAGAGGGCGATTGGATGGACATTGGCCGATATTTGGGGTATAAGCCCTGCCTTTTGCATGCATAAGATCATTTTGGAGGAGGATGCAAGGCCTTCACTTGAACATCAAAGGAGACTCAACGAAGCTATGAAAGAAGTGGTTAAGAAAGAAGTTATCAAGTGGCTTGACACTGGTGTGGTATATCCAATTTATGACAGTTCATGGACTTCTCTGGTGCAATATGTACCGAAGAAGGGCAGAATGACGGTGGTGACCAATGACAACAATGAGCTTATTCCTACTCGTACTGTGATGGATTGGAGAGTATGTATGGACTACCGAAAGCTTAATAAGGTGACTCGAAAGGATCATTTACCGTTGTCGTTCCTTGACCAAATGCTTGATCGTCTTGCGGGCCGGTCATTCTATTGCTTTTTGGATGGTTACTCGGGGCACAATCAAATTCTCATTGCACCGGAAGACCAAGAGAAAACGACCTTTACATGTCCTTATGGCACATTCGCGTTCTCGAGGATGCCATTTGGATTGTATAATGCTCCAGAGACCTTCTAACGTTGTATGATGGCAATTTTCACCGACATGGTGAAAGATATATTTGAGGTATTTATGGATGATTTTAGCATGGTTGGGGACTCTTTTGGAGAATGCTTGCAAAATCTAGACCGTGTGTTGGCCCGATGTAAAGACACGAACCTAGTTCTCAATTGGGAGAAGTGTCATTTTATGGTAGAAGAGGGTATTGTGTTGGGTCACAAGATTTCGAAGAGAGGTATTGAAGTTGACAAAGCCAAGATCGAAGTTATTTCAAGGCTACCTCCCCCCACTTTTGTCAAAGGGGTGAGGAGTTTTCTTGGGCACGTGGTTTCTACCGAAGGTTCATCAAAGATTTTTCTAAGGTAGTTAACCCGTTGTGCAAGTTGTTAGAGAATGAGGGCAAGTTTGTCTTTGATGAGAAATGCATGGAGGCTTTCGAGCTTCTAAAACATAAGTTGACAACAACCCCTATCATTACCGCACCCAATTGGAGCTTGCCTTTCGAGCTCATGTGCGACGCTAGTGATGTTGCGGTAGGGGCGGTCTTGGGCCAAAGAATCAACAAGATGTTCCATCCAATGTACTACTCAAGCAAGACTATAAATGAAGCTCAAAGAAATTATACGGTCACCAAGAAGGAATTGCTAGCTATTGTTTTTGCCATGGAAAAGTTCCGACCATACCTCATGGGGACCAAAGTGATTATCTATACCGATCATGTTGTCCTTAGGTATTTTATGACCAAGAAAGATTCCAAGGAGAGATTGATGAGATGGGTGTTACTTCTTCAAGAATTTGATCTAGAAATTATGGACCGGAAAGGGAGTGAAAATCAAGTGGCGGACCACTTGTCCTGTTTGGAGGAGGATGGGAGACCTTCTGACGGCCTTGAGATCAATGATACATTTTTGGATGAACAACTCCTCGCAGTGTCAATGCATGATATGTTGTGGTTTGCCGATGTCGCCAACTATATTGTGACCGGTATAATACCGTATGAGCTCTCTTCTAACCAAAGGAAGAAGCTCAAGTGGGATAGTTTGGATTATTATTAGGATGAGCCATATTTATTTATGATTTGCACCGATGGTGTGATTCATCGATGTGTCCCAGAAGAAGAACAATTAAGTATTTTGGAGGCTTGCCATTCCTCCCCCTATGGTGGCCATCATGGCGGGGTGAGGACGGCCTCTAAGGTGCTTAGTTGTGGTTTCTATTGGCCCTCCTTATTTAAATATGCTAGTGATTTTGTTAAGAGATGTGATTAATGCCAACGAGCCAGTGGGATTTCTAAAAAGGATGAGATGCCTCTCAACACAATTCTTGAGGTGGATATTTTTTATGTTTGGGGTATTGACTTTATGGGTCCTTTCGTGAGCTCTTGTGGGAACACTTATATTTTGGTGGCAGTGGATTATGTTTCGAAATGGGTTGAAGTTGTGGCTTTGACCAACAATGAGGCCCGAAGTGTGGTGGCATTTCTGAAAAAGTGTATCTTCACAAGGTTTGGCACCCCCCGTGCTATCATTAGTGATAGGGGATCTCACTTTTGCAACAAGGCTTTCGATTCATTGCTTGCCAAGTATAGAGTAAATCACAAAGTGACCACCCCCTATCATCCTCAAGCTAGTGGTCAGGAGGAAGTTTCCAACCGAGAAATTAAGAGTATCATGTCCAAAACTATCAATGCCAATAGGACCGATTGGTCGAAGAAATTAGATGATGCTCTTTGGGCCTATCGGATGGCTTACAAGACCCCAATTAGTATGTCTCCGTACCGGTTGGTGTTTGGGAAAGCTTGTCATCTCCCGGTGTAATTGGAGCATAAGGCTATGTGGGCCTTGAGGAAGTTGAACTTAGAATGGGATGTCGCGGCGAATCTCCGGGTTGAGCAACTCAATGAGCTTGACGAGTTTAGATTTCATGCCTACTCCAGCTCGTCCTTGTACAAGGACAAGATGAAGTATCTTCACGATAAATATGCCCGGGTAAAGAAATTCAAGGTTGGTGATATGGTTCTTCTTTTCAACTCTCGGTTGAGGTTATTTCCGGGAAAGCTCAAGTCTAAGTGGAGTGGTCCATTTGAAGTTGTTGGTGTAACCCCATTTGGCACTATTGATCTCAAGAACAAAAATAGTGAAGTTTTCCGAGTCAATGGGCATCATGTCAAGCATTATTTGGGGAAGTTTGATGACAGCCATGTGGTGGCACTCATACATTTGAAGTGATATTGATGGGAACATGCGTCGTGCCGCGACGTTAAATCAGGCACTTCTTGGGAGGCAACCCATGTCTTTTTCTTTTTCTTTGATTTTCTTTGTAGATTAGGATTTTTGAGCTAATTGTTTGTGAGATGTTACAGGACTTGTGTTGAAACATTGCAAAACAAAGTGTAAAAATGCACAGTCTCTGAAGAATGCCAGTGCGGCTGCATCCCAGATTGTGCGGTCCGCACTAGCACAAGAGGAACAAGTCTGGTCTCTGAAGCTAACCACGCGGCCGCGGTCATGATTACGCGGTCCGTGTGGCCCTGACGCGGCCGCACCCGTAGTTCACGTGGCCCACAGTGGCCTTGGTATTGAAAGCTAAGAAGTCTCCAACGCGGTCGCGTCCCTATTTGTGCGGTCCACGCTGGCCCCGCACGGCAGCACCTCCTTTTTATGCGGC